AGAGAGAGAGAGAGAGAGAGAGAGAGAGAGAGAGAGAGAGAGAGAGAGAGAGAGAGAGAGAGAGAGAGAGAGAGAGAGAATGTGGACGTGCAACCATGAAGTATGAACGGAAAGGTACGGCAGGAGGTTAGTGGCATGCGGCTCGCAGCAGAAATCACTGGCATCTCAAGTACTAATTGAACGGTTCTGGCGTTTTCAAGGTGCACATGGCACTGGCATTTTCAGCTGCCACATGTCTTGACTGTATTGGACAGCCACACCATCTTTACAATCAAATCATGTTTTTGAACTTTTTGTCACTTTTCAAAACCCTTCCCCATTTTGGTTCGAATCCTCCAATTCTTGTTCTTCTGGAAGTCTTCCAATGTTTAGATCATGTTGCTTTTTTGGACATTTGCAGTTTCGAATGTCATTCCGATTTGTTGGAACTTGGAATTCTACCATGGTTACCGTGGACTCCGACACCGGACCAATCCGGACGTCTGGGCGGACCCCTGTTTGGGGGACAAACAGGACTACTCCGGACCGTCTGGATTCAATCCCCCTCCCCCCTTTCCCCGCCCAACTAATGGCTACGAATTTTGAGGTGATATTCTTGTGTTGCAATGCTGCATGACATACCTTTTATTTTTTTCAGAATTTTTTGAATTTTTTTAAGTCGGTCTTTTTTTTGGGCGTCGAGGTGGTGGCAGATCCAGACATCTGAACCGGACACCGCACCCGGTCATCCAGACCTGGATCCAGACGTCCGGATTGCAACCATGGTTTCCAGTAGTGTGTAGAAGCTACTGTCTTGGCTTATTTTCTGCTAGTTCGTTCCTAGAATAGCGCGTAGAAGCTTGGCAGCCCTTACCCCCCACCCAACAGATTCACAGTGAGAGTTCAATCTGACCTAGGAATTGGAGCCTTGAGGTGCGCACGTGTATTGGGTTCCGTTGAGGTCCCGGTGTGATGCACACTCCGAATTTGAATGACTGAAATTCCACGAACCCTCAAGAGTCCGAGGAGTTCCAGCATTACTGCGAAAGGTAGAAAAGTGTCAAAAAAAAAAAAAAAAAAGAGAAGTTGATAAGTGTGTGCACAAACTCACAGGTAGTTCCTTATTGTTTGTGGGGCGGTGGGGAGGGTGTGTTTGTCGGGGGGGGAGAGTGGCAAAGAGAGAGAGAGAGAGGGAGAGAGAGAGAGAGAGAACAAGCACTCAGGAAGGACGAGGTTGTATGCAAGGATGGGGGCATGAGTAGGCTGGGCCAGGGGTCAGACCAAGGGTTGGGCCAAGGGTTGGGCCAAGGGTTGGGACAAAGGTCAAGCCTGTCACCAGGTCAGATTGGGGTTGGGCCCAAGGGTCGGGCAAAGGTTTGGGCCAAGTTGGGGCAAGGGTCGACTGGTACCAGGTCAGATTGGGGTCAAGGGCCGGGCAAAGGGTTGGGGCCCAGAGCCGGGCAAAGGGTTGGGGCTGAGGGCTGGGGTAAGGGTTGGGGCCAAGGGCGGGGCAAAGGGTTGGCGCCGAGGGTCAGGCAAAGCGTTTGGGGGGAAGGGTCGGGCAAAGGGAGGTCAGATAGATACCAGCCCCTGCAGAAAAGATGCTGATGTGGATTGGACGGGGGGTCAATTGTGCCGAAAGACATATTGGGTTCACTTCTGGATCCAGTGCGCAGCCAGGACTGGTAATTTACTTATATGATTATGTAAAGTTATGTCAACTTATATGTTAATTTAAAATTTATGTTTTTGTAAGTTTTTTTTTTTTT